TTTTCCGTTTCTTTCGCCTTATTGTTTTCCGGCAGCCCTGAGCCAATCACACGCAGTGTGACCGTCAGCTGTGTCGGCATCGCCGCGGTGATGACGATGACGCCGACACGGCTGACCGTGTGTGTGTGTGGCTTTGGTGAAACCTGTGGATTCATACAGCGGTTATTATTACAGTGATTATTATTATGATTCTTTGTGAAAACAATTAAGTCATTTTATGTTTTTGATTTTTGGGGCGGGAGGGGTGGGGGTGGGGGTGAGGCAGGGTTGGGGGTTGTAGCAGCAGGTCAAGAGGTTAGCTTACTGTGCTGATAGCAGTGCCGTAATTAAAATTAGCCTAAAGTTAACAAACTGGGCGGAATCAGGAAGAATATAGATATAACGGGAAGATGTTAGGTGGCTTGTTGCCATAGCAGCATGGCGAGCTGACTCCTGATCTGCTGCTCAGGGCGGACATGTTGCCTTTTTGACAGCAGACTCACACTGGTCCAGTACCTTAACTCTGTGTGTGTGTGTTTGTGTGTGTGTTTGTGAGTGTATGTGAGCTACGTAACAACAGTGAAGCAGGCCACTTTCTGTAATGATCGTTTTTTGACCTGCGCGGTTGAAACACTGAATTATTGGTCCTTTAGTCACTTTAACTGATAAGATATTAAAGGGGGCCTGTCATGCTCTTTTTCAGCTCTATATTATTTCCACTAGAGCAGTTTTACCTGATTTAAAAGTAAATTAATGCCCTTACTGTCCTTTCCCGGCCCTTTTTGGAGCTTCTGGGCTAATCTGCTTAAAATGAGCCATTTTAACCCGTCGCTTTAAGGACATCCCCATCCCTGAAAGCCCGCCTTCTTCTTATCGGTCCACTGATGGGAGCCTGCAGAGGGGCAGCACCAAAAACAAACTGAAGCCTGAGCTTTGTGTGTACAGGTACAACTTTCACACGTTTTCATCCCATTATTTAAAACTATGGCCATGTTTAAAATAAATATCTGGCATTAAAGTTTAGAAAGGAGTACCAGGAACATATTAGGAAAAAAATGTGTTTGTATTGTCAGAATAAAGTTGCAGAATGATGTAGGTATTTCAACAATAAAGTCAAGAGTTTGAGAATAAAACTGAAATAAGATTTTAATTTAAAAAAAGTCAAGATTTTGGAAATAAGGTCAAAATTATGAGGAACAAAGTAAAGCTTATGAGAGTCAAGATTTCAAGAATAAACAAAAAACTAACACAGCATAATCGGTCCCCTTTAAGCTTCTGATGGATGGATTCCCAAATACAATCAGGATAAGGCGGAGTTTCTTGTATTCTTGGTACGTCGTGCTAACACTTTAGCATGCACCGTGCTGAGTAATACTTAAATGTTAAATTGTTAGCATCGATAGATGGAGGTGTTTTCTTATCAGTTGAAGAACAAACTTAAAGTCTCAGTGTTTCAGTTTAATAGTAGCATGGCTGCAGTCCAGCCGGAGGGGGTTAAACCCACAGAAATCCTTTGAATATGTGTTTGTGGGCGTGGTCAGCTCACGGGAAGCGCTTGCTGGACCCGTGACCTCTGTGAGTGCTGCTGTGCACAGTGTTGTACTATCAGCAGGGTACTGCTGTCAGTATTCTGGGTCTCCTCCAGTGTCTTCAGTCATGTAGCATGTTGATGTTTCTGCCAGTACCGGGTCTGACCTCCAGGAGGTGCTGCTGCAACAGTTTGCATGACATGAGCAGAAGCTTCCGGGCCAGAGGGCCGTTTGTGGCTGCGGCAGGCCGATCGCCAACTGTTTCTTGCAAGCACGTTATGATGATTCCAGCTTTATTCTTGTAATATCAACAGAGGAGGGGCTCATTACTGCCTCTGTTGGTCGTAAAGCAGAAAACACCTACTGCTGTTATTTCTGAAAGCTGCAGGTATAATAGGTGTTTCTGTGTACGCCACAAGGGGCAGCGCACAGCACCTTTTATAGCCAAAAACAAACACGGATTATAAAAAATACACCCCATCGTACTCTTGATAATGTTTATAAGCCACTTTCATGACAGTTTAAAACAATATGAGGCCATTTTTAAGTATATTTTATCACTTCTCCTACACAGTATCCATAACTGGTGTATTAGCAGTTAATGACTGATGATTAATGATGATTAGCAAGCATATTTAGTTACATATAATGGTGTGATTATGTTTATTTTAACTGTTTATTCACATATACATTGTGCATTGCAGTGTATTCTCAGTGTTGGAAAGTATTTCTTCATGTATCAATAGAGACGCTTCATATTATGTATTCATTTATGTGATTATAGCTGATTATGGTTATGAGTAATTCATTAAGAGGGGAAATGAGGTGATAAATGCTTGAAATGTCCTTTAATCTGTTTAGAACTGCTTCAAAGTGAGTTTGTTAAGGGTTCTGGCTTTAAAGTGGGAGTTTCATCCTCAGAAACAACTTTTAGTCATTTCGCTGGCCAGCCGTGGCTGCACTCTGACCTTTCGGGCCTTCGCCAAGAGGCTGTGGTGCCATTTGTCATTTCCTGTGACTTCTGAAGGCGTCAGTGTGGTTTAAGAAGAAGAAGAAGAAACAAGTCTGATGTTTTGGAAAAAGTTCTTTAGATCTCTTAATCGTGTGCGAATCAACAGAAGCAGCTGTGTGAAAACACAAGAAAGGGAGCTAGGCCTTATTTTCACACATCTGCAACGATGCTGCAGACTGAAAAGTAGCTGCAATTGTTGCTTTGAAGACGCGAAGCCAGGACTGAGTGTTTGGACAGAAACAGACGTGTGTTAAAGTCTTTACACACTTCATTTAAAGCGCACTGAGGTCTTGACAGCTACAGTAAATAGGTGCAGATGGTAACACTTCACTTTAAGTGCCCGTATTTGGCATTTAAGAGCAGCATGTAAACATTTAATAGAAGTGGTATTGCTGTACGGCAGCTGTAAGCAGATATGAACATGTAAATGTGACTAAAAGAAAAATCTGACTACATTTCATGTGTTTAAGCATTAAAGTTCACTCTTACAGCTGCATTACAGTGTGTCACAGACCATGTGAGGCACATTTACATACTTCACTCTGCTTTCCAGTCCTCAATCTGATGTGAGGTCAAAGTGCCCATGGCAGCCACAGCCGAATGCAAACTGGAATGAGCAGTTCACAATACGAAGAAATTATTTTTATTTTTTTTTCTCAGTACTGATATAATTCTGCTTCTTTTTCTCTGTATGGCATGATGACCAGTGAAATGTAAAAGAAACCAGTTCAACCAGTGATGTATCAGCTTTGAAAAAATAAAGGAAAAAAAAACCACCCAGTAAGCTGCTGGGAGATTAAACACTGGTGCTGAATTGGTCTGAACTGGTTTCTTCCCAGTATGGAAACCCACAGTGGCAGCGGGAGGCAGGGGGAGGGGAGGGGGCAGTGAAGCCAAATGTAAAGTTAAAAACTAAAAAGCCTTAAATGAATAAAAGTGGTGCAATTTTGTAACAGCAACCTGTGATGTGGAGTCATTCTGAATTTCAGCCACTCGTAGAAATCAAACGGCGCAAATCACTCGAGCTCTAGTTACCATCTTCAAAGATCTGTGTCGACGATTGAGCTGCAAAACCAAGAAATGGTCACTGGGACTTCTTCAGCATCACAGACAAGGCTGTGTCCTATCTCTGCTCCTCTTCTTTGTCGCCCTGAAGCTGTTTAGAAAGGCCTCAGCGACCTGGACTTTGGACTACACCTCGCTTTGCACAAACAGGATGAGATGAAGCTGCCAGGTATGACAACCAAGGAGCCACTAAGATGGACATTAAATACTCAGAGAGCACTTCCTACTACTGGACATATTCAACCAGTCACACACACTCACACTCTGATGGATGCACCAGGGGAAACTCTTGAGTTCAGCATCAGGAACCATCCGCCAATCTTCCAACTGGTCTACCACCTGAGCCGCATTGTGTGCGGATGTGGAGGCAGATGTTGGGGATCTGCATCAAGAGCATATATGTCATGGCCTGAAGTTGGGGAGAGTGCATCAGTGTGAAACATGGGAAACATGGGTATTGGAAGGTGGCAGCTGTGGGAACTAGAAGCTTAGTGTCATAGAATTCATAAGATCTAATACTTCTATCACATCTATCACATCACCACCAAAGTGGTGAACAAGTGGTTTGTGTAAACCCCACATTACCGTCACCCACAGAAGACCGACTGATCCGTAACATCTTCAGCGTGGAGAACCATCAGATCTGGTGGTACTGAGATCAGAATCTCTGTTTGAAGATTAATGAATGAAATAATATATGCTTTAATAGATTATGACCTGAATCATTAGTGATGTCAATGCTGTCAACTGTTCCTGCATTATGAAGCCTAAACATTACCATCTTGTTCACTTTTGGAGCCTGAAGTGAACATAAATCATTGTAAAACATAATTCTCTGCAAAGCTGTTGTTAAAAAGAAAAATGTTAATAGAGGCAGCATGTTTTTTTTTAACCAGGCTGTAGGGTGGATGGTTTTAAATGGGAGCCTCTGGTGGACGTTGGAGGAACTGCCGGTTTTGTCTCTTCAGCACTTGCTTCAGCTGGATTTAACGTGTCCGTTTCTGTTTCTATATAAAATATCAGATGTCTATGCTGCATTTCGACTTTTCCAGTAGGAGAAAACTAAACACCATGGTATGATTTTTCACAGGTGAGTACCTCCTGTGGGACATCTCACTGTTAAAATATCACAATAAATAATAGTCATTTTAACCCGACTAAACTGACTTAAATCTTGGTTTACGTAAGCGGAATAATTAAAATAATGTAACCAGGAAATTCATGAGAATTATATTTGTCTGTTGAATCTGTTACCCATTTATTAGACCTTCACATCTGAGCTACAGCTGTCCAGTTTTCTGTTTAGCCGTTTTGACGACTTTGAGCCACGTGATTGACAGGTCAGTACACGTGTTGAAATAATTACGTTATTTTAATTTGATGTTTACAAGCTGCAGGATTGTAAAATAAATATTAGGCAATATATTATTATACATAATTATATAATAAGTTAAAACATTTTTTATTTAAGTAAACTTCCGGTTTCGTAGACAGCGCTGTAGCATTTGTAACACATCCAAGTGCTTTAATGGTGGTTTTACCCTGTTTGGACCTCTGCCTTCATAAGATATCCCGGAGCGTCGGTCCAGTGACGCACCGTCCTACGCCGCCCCGCTGTGGACGCGCCTGCGCACGACACTAAGCTGCCATGGCAACCGGGGTAGCTTGTTTCCGTGATTTAGTCCGAAGAGAGAAGCGGAGCCGGTCGTTAGCAGCATGTTGGTCAGGCTAGTTAGCTAGTTATAGCACATTAACCGACTAGTTAACGAGTTAACCTGTCGCGTGATGACAGAGGGGTGACTTCTCGCGGTGTCTGGAGAGCAGCAAGCGCGCCATGACCGTCCGATTCAAGGTAAACAACGCAACAGGTGTTAGCATTAGCAGCAGATGCTCCACAATGAGTTATCCTGACCCTCAGTCTGCACGTGATAGCAGAGGAGGGATTAATCTGGATTTAATCCGATGAAGTCAGACCATCCAAATCATTCAACACAGCATACACCTCACTGCAACACCGAAAACACGTCGACCTGAAGCTGTTTCGCTTAAGAGTGCACCATATTACTGCTTTTATTTTGAAAGATGATTTTTCAGATAAAGACGTGAAGAACTGAGGCTGAACTGTTATAAACTGCAGAGTTTTATTTTGAAACTAACCGGTGGATGTAAGGACCTTAAATCTACCTGCACAGCAACAAGTTCCAATATTTATATTAAAAAATAATTAATCTATTGATGATTAATTGATCAGCAGTTTTTTCAATCATACCTTGTACCTGTTTCCATCCTGTGAGCCTTTGCACCTCTGTGTCTTTGTTGTAGAGTCAGACTGAGTATCAGAAGAGCTTTGGTGTTTCCCGCTCCAGAAATGCGTCTCCTCAGCGCTGCATGCCGTTGGCCGGTCTTCGCTCCGATGAGATGGGTAAGAAACACGAAACCACCACAATAAAACAAACACAAGCTGCACCTGAGCTCTGACATGAAGTGGTTGAACACATGAGATGTTCGTCTGTCAGGTGTCAGCAGGGAGCCGGGTCTTCAGCGCCTGAGGAGGCCTCTAGGCCCAGCTCAGTCCTCCACCTCTCTGCTCCATCCTCCAGGTGATGAGCAGCAGCACTCTCTGGCTCACAGAGCAGCGCCCTCTGCTGGTAGGAACCTCATGCTGCTGCTGCATAATGAAGGTGTATATGAAGTAGAAGAGGCTGCAGATCCAGCTTTGACATCCAGCTGTGGCACACGTGTCTTTAATGTGAGCGTCACACTGGAGTTCAAGGATGACTGCATTCAGTCACAAAGTCCTGTTTACCTTCATTGCTCTTTCTAACAGCCTCCACAAAGAGGCCAATTTGAACAGCAGGAGGAAAGCAGAAGTCGTTCACACTGTTCTCTGACTACAGATTAAGCCTGAAGTTTAGTTCATTTTGCTAAAACAGCTTTAACTAAAAGGTCAGACTCTCCAGGATGTTTCATTTGATCGTGTTTGTCTTATCAGTGAAAGAACGAGCCGGAAATTTTGATGATTCTCAAACTGCCAGGTTTTAGGAGCCACTCAGCCCACAGGAGGATGCTCTCCCCAGAGCCCAATCCACCAACAGCAAATCCCGGATCCCCCACAGAGCCGGAAACTCCAGCCGGACCACGACCTGCTGAGGAACCGGCAGCTGATGGAAAACCTGGTGAGTAAATACATGGAGCAGCAGCTACGTGATGACTGATTGTCATAAAGCAAAGAGAAACTAAACCAGCTCCAGATGACCGACAGACCTTTAATGTTCTGAATGTTCAACACGCAGTTTCATGTTCTTTTTCTCCTCAGTGAAGCCCCGTCCCCTGCAGCCTGACAGCCAACCACAGCCCAGCCAGTCTGTGACAGCAGCAGCTAACGGGCAGCCAGCGCCATCAGGGGCTGAGGTGAAGTCTGCAAAAACTGACAAATCCTCATTGTTTCTTTGAAGACTATCCAACAGCATGTCATGTTCTTGTCCTGTAGATTGATTATGCGCTGAGACAAAAGGCGGGGCTGAGATTAGGAGGTCAAAGGTCAGGAGGGAAACACTCAGAGTATCACAGACAATTTGGATGGAAGAAGCCAACAGCCGCTGCTGCTTCGCCCATACTGACTGCAGAGCAGGTGAGACCAGATGCACACCTAGGTTTGAGCTCCCACAGATCCAGGTGTGCTGCTGCAGAGCAGGCCCACCGACGGCTCATAAACCAAACATGCGGTGCTCCTCAGGTGTGACCTGGACGTTACCCTGAGGAGCCTTGTGTCCAGCACACTCCGATCAATAAAAACTGCCGAGTGCAAGAAAAATAAAAACTGTAAATATATTTCCAGTAAATTAGTTCGAGATCATAATTTCAAAGACAGTGAGTTTCATAAAAGTCTCAGCCAATCAGAGTCATTTTGTAGAGTTTCTAACATGCTGCATTTTTTGTCTTGTTTTTATTAGTCGTTAAATTTATGAAAGCATCTTATTTTTAAAAGTTGCAAAAGTTTATCATCTGTGTACAACTGTAAATAAAACACAGAAATAAAATAAATAGAAAAATTAAAGAAAAAGAGTAAAAAAGTTAATAGATAATATTAGGAATTATGCTTGTTTCATTGTGGTGCATTTAATGATAAACGTACAGTTTTAGTGAGTCATTTGAAACAGTATCTAAATAAATGGAAGCATTCATAAAAGTAAAATATTCACATCAAAGAAATGAAATGAATTTCTATTCGTAAAGTTTTTTATTTCACAACCGGAACTGAAATAAAATTAAGTCAGAAACATTCATTTCTGTAACATTTTCTGATCAGATCAGTCGCACATGAATGCCACAAAGTGCTGATACTGTGTAAATCAACTGTTTTGTATAGTTTTTTACTGTGGTAATCATATGTGGTTGTCACAGATTTTACCCTTTGATGAATATGCCACTGCTTACTCAGAGTTTCTGGGTGGTTTGATAGCACGCTGTGTAGTGCTGTGCACAGCAGGGGTCAGCACCGAGCTTTAAACACAGATACAGGGGCGCAGAGTGAAAGGTGGAAACGAGATGATCACACCTGTGGATGCTGTGGATCCAGTTGATCTTTTCATTGATCGATTATCACTTCTGCTCTCTAGGTGCTGCACTCCAGCAGCCGGTCTGTCCCGCCCTTCAAGATAAACCCTGTCTCCATGAAAACAGAGTATCAGTGCAGCTTCCAGGGTCTGGTGCCACCTGCTGGCCCCCGGCTTCGGAAACACCTGGAGGGTCAGAGAGTCCCGCTCTTCCAAACATACAAGGTACAGATGTGTGCAGATGTGAAGACCTACTTAGTGTAGTGAACTATGCCCTGAAAAGTCACATAGTATTTTGAAGGTCACACACCAACCTGATGGTCCTCTGCCTGAAGGTCAACAACCTAAACCTCTGCTTGGCACAGGCAGTGTGAAAGGTAGAGGCTCAGCTCGAGGCATCGTGATGCTGATTTCTGCACTTTATACTTTGGTTAATGGTGTGTTTGGATCCTCGAGTGTTTTTGGAAACCAAACCAGTTCATGTCTTTTTTTTCTGTCTTATATCTTTGAGTTTATATGTAATTCTGCAGTAGGAAGACTTTGCCCCACATTCATTTGCTGTTCTGCAGGCAAGACGATTCTTCTTTGTGTCCCGCCAAGCATCAACCTCCAGGGCTGACTGGGTTAGATTTTATTGGTTTTGTGCAGGAGACTAGGAGAGAGAGAAGAGATGAGGAGTATGACAGACAGAGTTGCTGGCGAGGTGAAGAAGAGTGTCAGATAGGCAGATAAGACTCCATTACCAGTGTGTCACAGTTAAAAGCTCTGCTTTCAGAACAGAAGCGGGAGAAATGAGACCTGTGAGTGTCAGTTTCCAGGAAGTCTCGGGCCATAAATGAGCAGGAGTGGTCATGCAGAGCAGACTCCAGGTCAGTTAAAACAACCCTGAATGCATTCAGTGAGGTTGGCTCTGTGAAATTTTATGATTTCTGCGTGTGACTCAAGCACAAAGACCTGTAAATGTGATTTTTTTTAAGATTTGAGTATAATGGCACTTTATAATGGATGTATGTCAGACTAAGAAAGTCACTGTAAATAAGCAGAAAGCAGAGGTTGAGTTGAGGAAGGGACCAAGCAGAGCATTTTGACTGTGTACTCTATTTTCATATTTTTTAAAGCCTTTGTTCTCAGAGGCATTTATACCATTACTCATCTTTAAAGCCATTAATCAGTGATGGTGTAGGTTTAAGTGTAACACCTCTTTAAGCAAACAGCCACAGCTGCTGATGAGCTGCACACACACATCTGTTCTGTTTCAACCTACAGACCACCAGGAGGAGGAAGGAGGAGTCACAGAAGAAGCCCCGCCTCCAGCGGGATGCTCTTCAGAGAGATATGCCCCCTCCGCGCCAAGTGCGGAGAGGATACAGGTGTGTGTGTGTGTGTGTGTTGCTCATTTTTTGTGCTCATAAACTAATTCATTAAATCGTTTGTTTGTGTCTGGCAGGATGTTAACAGAGTATGAGTCGAGCTTTCGTTCTCCCCTCTGCAGGATCCCAGAGGGAGGCGGAGCCATGGACAGCGCTGCCCAACAGGTCAGGATCCGGCGAAGGCGTTCACAGTGCTCAGCCTGTTTCACACATATTAATTTATGTATAGTTATGCAGGTGGAGACGCTATCAGACACTGACCAGAGGTCATAGCAGAGCACAGAAGAGAGAGGTTCAAAGTTTGTTTCTTACCTGGTTTATATGGAGGACCAAAACTGACAAAACCACAAATTTACAGAAATAAATCCTACAAAATGACCCAATCACAGTGCCCATCCTCTAACAGTGGGCCCTCTGCTCACAGTGCAGCTCAACCTTCCTTCACAGAGAACACCAAAGCTTGTCGGGCCTCCAACGGTGCCTTGTTCTCTGCACTGAGGAGAGCTCATGTGACAGGTCTGAAAGTGTCTGGAGATGCCTGAAACCGTTCCCATTCATCTCTGTCTCCTTATCTTTCACACAACCTGTTAACTGATTTCCTGAGTCAGGGTCAGATTGGGTGCTTGCTCTGCACTGTTACACAGCTTCCCCTCACTCTGAATTTGACATTTTCCACCATCCAGCAGCGGACAAACACACCGGAGGATTTAAAATAACGTGTTTAACATTCAGTGTTTCAAACAGTATTTAACCATGTTTAACTGTAAGCCCCAGTCATCAGCATTGATCACTGATCACCCTCAATGCTGCCTGAACAGAGTGTGTGTTTTCCTGTTTTGTGTTTCTGTGTGCGTTTGTGTGTGTGTGCGTGTGTGTGCGTGTGTGTGTGTGCATGTGTGTGTGTGTGTGTGTGTGTGTTTGTATGTTGCTGATAGAAAACCAGAGTGCTAGTGTCAGCAGTGAAACCACAGAGCTTCATTTCAGGGAAACATGTCAGACTTAGTCACACACACACACACACACACACACACACACACACAGGTATGCTCCTACCAGATGGATGGAAAGCGTTGTCACAGCAACATGAAACACTTTAAACTCTCCTGTTTCAACTGAATATTTCCTGAAGCTGTTCCTGCAGCTCCATCCATGCTGCTGCTTTGCTGCTCTTATAGTGAGCTCCTGCTTCCCCTGCAGAGAGCATCTGCTGCCTGATGGAGGCAGTGCCCAGAGTCTGTGGTGCAGCTGGCTTTTGGGCCGCTCCAGCTTTGGGTGTTGCTGGTCCATCAGCTACAGAGAAGAGTGAAGTTCTTTAAAGATCTGAAGTGAAAGTGAACGTGTCCACTGCAACCGCTGTCTCTATGTCTCATGCCGTCTTTTTAAATCTTTGACGTTTCATTCGAGCTTCTCCTGTTCCTCTTCAACCTTGCGGTAGCTATTTTGGCTTTTCCTACTCCTCAACCAATCAGCATTCAGCTTACACAGCGCAAGTGGGTTTCTGGAGAAAAGGCCTTTCTGCAGGCAAGTATCTACAAAAACACGCTGCACAAAGGCCTAACTGTTTGAAGGATGGGTGTGGAGTCCAGTGATAAAGCGTTTTCACCATCACCATCTTTTCTGCACACTTGCTGGCTAACTAGTTGTCAGTCAGAAGTTTGTCTGACACTTAAAAAGACCAAAACAACCGAAATTGACTTTATATTTGATTCCAGGGGCATCAGACTGATCTTTGCTTGTGGGCAGCATGCAGCCTAGTTTGATCTAAAGTGGGTCAGACCAGTTCCATTTATAAATGGAAATAACCTACGCACGACTACAGAGGTGCTTCAAGGTCAAAATGTACACCGATCTTACAGCGTCGGGCACATATTTCTGTCCCTTTCTTTAACATATGTATTGCATAACTGGCTGTAAACAGCAAGCATTTACAAAAGTCTTTTAATGTGGTTTGATTGTGAATTTCCGCCCTCCTAAAACCAGACCTCCACTCTTCACAGGAAACTTTGTGAAGTAGCATTCAGGAGTATATTTTTGAGGGTTTTGTCTCATAAAGTCAGTAGAAGATTAAAGCTACCTGTGCTGCAGATTCTTTCACACAGAAACAGCTGCTCAGTGAAAATAAGATCAGTGAATCTGTGGGAGGTGTAACCATCTGGTTAAGCTTTCCAAGCCTGCGGTGGCCTTCAAAAACTTCCAGTGTGTGCAGGGAAGTTGTCGGCTGGCGTCACAAGTTGTGAATTCATCAGGGCGACAGTTGTCAGAGAGAGGTGCAGCGTCAGGCTTACTGGTGCTGGGTTGCTCGGTTAGGTTCAGACTGGAAACATTCTGAGGTTTCAGAATAGGGTCAGGGTTATCCAGGGTTGGGCTGGGGTCAGGGTTGGGTGACTTTTTACAAGAATCTACTGTGACACATTACACAATCAGAGCAGATCAGCATCTTTATTAGCAGCTTCATTGTTAACTTATGATCCCAGCATGATCTGAGAAAGGCGGAAGAACTTTTGAGCAAATGCACATTTGGTTGCGCAAACCTTTAAATCATTTCCCATAAATCTGCAGGAAACTTGTTGTTCAGCACTTCCCTCCTGCTCACTCATTAATTTGCTAATGTGCCAATCACGTGCACCAACCAACACACTTTCTACGAATTTGTGTTGTCTTTTGATCCACTCTATTCCGATTATTCACACATGCTCTTGTTGCCTCATCATGTTGCTGCGTTCCAAGTAACTTGGGCATGATTGGACTGCAGCATTCACTGTCGAATCTGTCAGGCTGCACAATATAGTCAACATGCAAGTATTTAAATTTGTCATCTTTGTATAACTTTTAGGACAGAAGGGTTCATTGGAGCACATACAGATCTGGACATGTTTGGACTGCTGACAGAGTTTTCTGAGTTTTTATTATACCTCTCAGAGCACATATGAAACAATCAGCTGAAGCTGAAGTGCAGATTTATCAGATTTCATGTCTCTAAAAAGGCTCAAAAGATGTGGAGGGTCTCAGGATCAGTGGATGCAGTATGAGCCAACAAAAGAGGACACCACACTGAACATGTGCCTCTGTAAAGTTTAGCAGTGAATGAAAGGGACTCAGGCATGGCATGACCCTATGTAGTTTGAGCTCCTCTTTGTACTCAGATTGCAAACTGTAGAATTTTTTGAGGGTCTAATGTTGTTGGTAGTCAAAGACAGCAGAGGGAGATGGTCTTAGGATCCTTTACATGAAAAAAACTCTTCAGAATGTAACACTGTCAAGCTTTAGGTATAATAGTTCAAGACTCTTTGAGAGGTACCAAAGTCACTAATGGTTATTTCTATACGTTGTTGAATTTGTTTGGGATCCAGTGGTTCCTGGTCAGTCTTGTTGCTTTAACCTCGTCCTGTGTAGAAACACCTTGATAACAGTGTATTTGACATCAACAAGAAAAGTCAGGAGGTGCTAAATCATTAGGAAGCTGCCTCAGGCAACCCTGACGCTCTAAAGGCAGTCTGGTGAGTAACTGCTGGACTGAAATTATCTTCAGCCAGTCTTAATGTAAATGTATAAAGTGTATTAAGAAATATTGTTGTAGCTGCTGCTTTTGTTGGAGCTCCTTTAGAGTGACAATTAGAAAGTTCTTTCCTAACAGGGAATATTTTTGACATAATTTTTGCATCCGTCTTCAAAACCTTTTGCTTTATCCCTGCCTTTATCCCACTGTCCCACTATAGAAAGGACTGATGATGTGACATGATGCATTTCTTGCTTATTGCCTTTTTTAGAAGGCAGGATAAAGCTGCCGAGGCTTTGGCTGCTTACGGTTACTGCTCAGACTTAAAGATCATTTGTGGTCGATTGTATGCTGTCACGGAAGTATCTGTCCGTGCTGTTTAAAGCTGTGGTTCTTGTTTGATAGCTGTGGTGTGTCAGCACTACACCACAGGAGTTCAGGGATACAGAAGCTTCCACTAAGACTTTAACTGATGTGTTCCAGTTAGGATATTAACACCAAACACCGTTACAGTCAGTGAAGACTACCTGACAGTCACAGCTGAGACAGTAACTACGCGCTGTGGTCACAAACAGCTGCAGTTTTCTGCTAAACACACAATGCTGTATCTCAGCCTTTTTATGTGGTCACAGACAATGGAAACTTTACTTCAAGTAAACAGAGAAATTATCCAGAAAAAAGAAATCCCCCTCTGTGACCATAAGGGGGTTTCATAGCATTCCTATGCAAACTTCAGAGTAAAGAAAACAATGTACAATGGCAGCAATGTTAAAAGTTCATCAAATTAATCTTGTTAAATTAATTAACCCAGTTAACATCCTCGAGGTCACCAGGAACCTGTCAAGTGTTACAGTTAAGTTTTGTTTTAGCTGCATGCTAAATTAGCACATTTTTAAAAACTAGATATTAACATTTATTTCAACTTTAACGTTTTCTGCTTAAAGCGTTTCCATATGCGTGTTCAAAGCCTGGCAGAAATGGCTGGAAGTGAACCCTAACCCTAGATAGGTTGGCGGTGACCTATGTGTGTGGAAGTTAAGTTGAAACCACTCCACTCTGGTGTTTTTTACTTTTCAGTGGCATAGAAATATGGGCTCAAATTGTGGTCATAAATATTTTGTACTTGTTTGTAAAAAATATTTACACAAGTTGCAATTTTTTTTTTTTGTTAAGGTCTGCTTACAGATACAAAGCAAAATACTATGTGTAAAACTCTGCGCTCAAGTTCCCTGGCTGTGTGTGACTTTCAACTTGCAAGCACAAATTTTGACCCAATTTTTCTTCCTTTCAGCTGATTGGTCAATGTCATGTCAATCACAAACTTAACAATCCAATCAGAGAACAGATGGATTTGGCTGTTGGTGGAGTGCTTTCCTGAGCTTCAGGTCCTGGAAGGGTAATACAGTTTAAAGCTGGAGGATCTCTATATTAATACAGTGGTCCCTCGTTTATCGCAGGAGTTAGGCTCTAAAAATAATCTGTGGTAGAAAGTGCTTTGAGCACAGAGCATTGAGTTGAAAGGCACAATAATAATAATATTAATAATGGATTGCATTTAAATAGTGCTTTTCGAGACCCTCAAAGCGCTTTACAATTCCACTATTCATTCACTCTCACATTCACACACTGGTGAACTATGTAAGTACCAGCCCATTTACCATTCATGTCTGGATTATATCATCTTTATTTTGATTTTTGAAAGTGGATGAAGTCATGGGAAGAAAAGTGCACCACAGTTTGGTCGTTTCCTCTGAGTGTCTGACCTCTCAGGACGTTACAGAAGAGTTCCACACCGACAGCCTCAACCTGGAGGATGAATCCCAGTGAAACAATCACAACCATTTTCCTGGTCTCGCTCCTCACCTGATCTTCTGCTTTCAGTATTACATAATGTAAATTTTTCTACTGAAAACTTCTAGATTGAAGTAGAAATGAGAAAGTGCAATAGCAGATAATAATAGTTACAGCAGTGATAGGGTAGGAGAGGGGCAGTACTGATTGTCTTATTCAGGAGTCCGCCCTTGATTTCAGACCACTGTAGCATATACTGAAGGGCAGAAGTTTGGGTAGGCGATGTTATGGACACTCCCTACAATCCTGTAGGTGTAAATGTCCTGTAGTGACGTCAAGGCTGCTCCTGAGATGTACTGAGCTGCAGGAGATAAGTCTTCCTGTTCTGAAGCTGCACTGTGACTGAGGTAGCGACTGCACATCTGCAAACGTTGCTAAGGACTTTGGCCGATATTCCAAATTTCTTCAGCAAAGTTAAGTCTGTGCTATGATTTCTTTAGAAGCTGCTGGATGCTGCAAGACCAGGTGAGATCACACATGTACATGCCTTGATCTTATCTGCACTTAGAGAAAGGTTATTTTCCACCTGGCCTCCAGTCTTGCCTCATCTCTGCACAATGACTGTATTGTCATCCGTAAACTTCATAATGCTGGTGTCAGACTCACTTCGCACACAGTGTTTACAGTTCTGATACTCATACAGTTTCTGACCGACTGGCGTCTGTGGCCAGTTATCTGAAGTTCATTTAGATAATGCTTTAAAACAGCTATCCAACTAAGTTCTTACGGGAATTCAGTTACAGTCTTAACCTCCATGAGCTGCTTATTACAGCCAGCAAAAAATGTGTGGAAATAAAGACTTCTTCCTTAGAAGGTGGGATGATCCATTTATTTGTTTCCAGGTGAAGGAGTTGAGGCAGAAGGCGTTGTTGTATCGTCATCGCGCCTGGGGGACCAGCTTTTCCAGAGACCATCTGAGCCAGCTGGTATCCGAACACAATGTTCTGTGGGAGCCGACGGACACTACGGTCTCAGCTAATGACCCTGCCTCCCCTTGCTTTCCCCCCGACTCCTCACCTGACCGCCACAGCTACAGCACTTCCTGTGTGGAGCCCCTGGACCTGGCTAGGTGAGAGATGCAGCTGGTTAGAAGTAAAAGAAAGAACTGAACGCTGCTCTGTGCTGATTTCTGTCGTCTGTTCAGTCACTCCAGTAAGAGATCCTCCATCGCAGGCTCAGAAACACAGCAAATGAGCAAGGACACACGAATAAAAAAACAAGCCGTACCGGGACCTCCTGCTGAACGCCGTACAGCCTGGGGGGAAGAAGAAAAAGAAGATGAAGAAGAAGAGGAAAAACAGGAAGAAGAAGAAACTACAGATGAGTGAGTTTCCTCTTTACAGTCTCTCTTTTCTCTCACTGTTCTCTGTGAAAGGATAGCGGAGTAATGGAGGGACTGTCTCTACTGGATTTGACAGATAATCTCAGGAGTTTATTGATAAAAAATGAGAAAAAAATAGAAGAAGAAATTATTTTAAAAGGTCAGATTGAAGTTTGAGTTATCCAGAAAAATAAAGGAAATAAGCCTGATGAGGCTGGTGACAAATGAAAGGAAAAACCAGGATAAACTGTCAGAGATCCTGGATACTCGTCTGTTTTTTTTCCCTTCAATCTGTCACCTCTCTGTAGATGAGAACACACTACAGCCAATCAAATGCAGCACCAAGGAATGACATCATCAATCATAAAGACCAGGACAGACCCACAGGTTAGATGAGGTCTGCTGCAGCTGGTTTAAAGGTTCAGTCGTCTGCTAGCATTAGCTGGTTACTTCACATGAAACCGACGTGACGTCTGAGAGGAGACAGAAGGGCCTCGATTCAGCTCCATTTCTGCTGAAGAAAACAGTGACTCAAAAGTTTGACACTCAGATCAAAGCAGCCTCGCTCATTCTCAGGAACTGTGTGTGTGTGTGTGTGTGTGTGTGTGTGTGTGTGTGTGTGTGTGT